AAAGCAATAATGGTGTTTGATGAAGATGAGGAATATGGTAAAGAAATCATCCTTGGTAGGCTTCCGAAAAGCGGCTCTAARATTTACTTGATTAGAGATGAAAGGGGAAGATTCTTTCCCGACCCCAAGATTCCCAAAACGTTGAAAAAGGCCATTGGAAGTCCTAACTTAGCAATACAGGAGCAAATGTCCGAGGAGCAAATAAACGTTGGTAGGCAAAGAATGTACGCCGCCCTTGCGCGACTGCCGCCTGAAGCAGGTGGAAAGACTGAAGATCAAAAAGTCATGCAACTTCAACGCGCAAGGGAAGAAATCAAAGACCTAACTGCGGAAATAGAAAGGCAAAACGAGGAAATATCCAACCTGGAGCAAGGAAAGATAGCGGAGGTAGCCTCCCTTAGAAGGGAAAAGAACGCGGAAATAGAAAGGCTCGTGGATAGGATTAAGGACTTGACGTATGACCGTGGGGGAGACCCGCGAGAATTAACTAGGGAATTACAAGCTGTAAAAGAGGAAAGAGACGTAATGAATGAAAGATATGCGGTTCTCATGGAAAGGCTCGATGAAGCTAAAGCAGACCGAAGGGGAACCTTCCAAGCCCTTCAGGACGCCATAAGAGGCTTAGACGAAAGGGACGAGGAACTCATGAAGACCGCTGACGTCTTACTCAAAGTCGAGCAACGCGCAATACAGCTGCGGGATGAAGTCGCTCGTAAAGACGAGCAAATTCGACAATTAAGTGGCGCCGTCGAAGACTTAGAACATCACGCTGACGCGCAGCGGGAAATAATAGCCGAACAAGCACGCCCCGAAGAAGAGCGGGCAGCTGCGCAAAGGGAATTGGAGGAAACCCTGGAAAGGCTCGAGGAGGCAAGGATGAGGCTTGCTACCGCAGAGCGGGAGCGAGGGGCCGCCACTACTAAGCAAAAAGTAAAGAAAGTATTAAAGGTGCTATTAAAGATTGGTGTGCCGTTGGCATTTGCGGGTGCCATTGCCGGCGCGGTAGTTGCTATCATGGATGCAATTAGCGCCGTAGGTGCGAAGGCAAAGGCGCTGGGTAAAAAAATAGGCGGCGACCTAGCCAAGGTGGGTAAGGAAATGGGTGCAGGGTTGGCTAAGGTAACTACGGGACTTGCGGCAGGGTTAACGGCGCTGGGTAAAAAAATGGCAGCAAGCATTCCAGGCTTGCTTGGTAGCACCTTAGGTTTGGTACTGAAGACGGGCGGTGAACTGTTGAAGTTCGTGGG